ATATTCTACAATCTCTAGCAAGGTTACATCGGGTAGTTATAAAATGGAAATTTTTTTTCTTATAAAAGGAAAGAAATAAAATCTGACCTTATACAAAGAAAAGGAATTAACGCGCGGAGATTTCAAGCACAAACAACAGTTGATAGAATAATGCATCAAATTATTATGAGGAAACGATCAAATCACGGCGAGAAAAAAAAAGTCGTAAAATCTCCCTCATCGTAAGAGATCAAAGTCCATTCTCAGTGTCTGTCATAAATGCGTAAGTCATTTTGCGAAATTTGCGGTTTCTTATGAGTCAATTTTAAGACCTTTACGTTGCCATCGCGCCAAGCTCGACCGTAAAATCCAGTCCTATCTACAAATAAGCGTTTTTTCGCTTATTTTTTAACCAGAGTGTTCCCAGAATCGTCCCACAGAGTGTTCTTCTCAAGAAACCGAGATCGTAAAGTCGGATGCGTTTATCGAATACGCGGTACGATATTGTTTCTTTACGATTGGGATCGTAAACCGTACCACGGCTTACAACGCGCAGCTCTGTAGTTTCATTCAACATGCGGCACGAAGCCGCGTATATCTATATCTATATCTGCAACACTCGATCGATCTTATTAAATTCTCAATCTCGGTGTTTTAATCCAAAACCCAGACCTGGATAGGAAAGGCGAGCAAGGAAAACCGGCGCTCGCGACCGTCGCGAGCCACCACCGTCGTCCCGTTTCTAATCCCTTCCGTACGATCTCCGGTGGTTGAAAAGCTCACCCGCCTCGCCGCGACGCGCACTTTTTTATTATTCCATGGCGTGTGAGACGAAGCTCGCGTAGGGCGTGTCGCGCAATTTGCATTCTCATTACCATCGGCGGTTCTTATTTAAATAGGTGAACAACTGCAAAGCACTCCGGTGGTCGGGAGAGCTCGTTAGGCGAGCCCTCTCCAAGGTGAGAGAAGGAGAGGGTGGCCGTATGCACAGGTACATCCGTTGCACCTTGCGCTCTTCCGACGCACCACTCACCTCGACTCTCCGCAGACCATGCTGCTTTCAACCCCCTCCCTTTAAGACGCAGTCTAGCTAAGAAGGAAAGAAAGAGAAAGAGGGAGCCGGATGACTGCAATTTCGCGCGAGGACGCGAATCCTCGTGGTCTCTGACCTCGCGCAGCACCGTGGAGAGGGGGGAAGGCAAGGGGGGGAATCTTTTAAATTCAACGCGGTACGCTTCATTAGTGGCTGTGGTTTGCTCGGCGGCCGCAACGATTTAATCCGAGCTTGCGCGCGGCGTCAAGCTGCGCCCGCCATCCCGAGGAAATTCAATTTCGCTACGGCGGTAATGGACCAGAACGTTTCCGACCGGAGAGTCAAGCCGACTCTTGGAAACGCCGATCGACTCTCGGTGTATCCCGCCGAAAGCGAAATCCGTTGGAACGTAACGCGGATGCCGGGTGGCGCGGCCGGGTTCGCTTCTAAACGCTCGCGGCGTTCGATAGTTAATCGCGCGCGAGTACGACACGAACGACACAAACGGCATCGACAGGAATGTCTAGCCGACAAACTTTTCGATGGGAAAGAGCGTCGGGGGATACGCATGTGAAATATCGAATATACGAATCCGGCAACTCCCCCGAAAATTCGGCACAATTGATCGGGAATTTTTAATTACGTGATCACGACACGAATACGAACCGTGTAGATTTTATTGATTTCGAAATTGTTTAACAAATAGAAACGATCTGATCTCAATGAAAATTTGGAATTACTGAAAATTTATCTCTATGTTATTCTGAATTTCTTAACTTAATATTTTAACTTTTCTTCTAAATCAGAGAACTCTAAATTTGATACAGAGAACTTTTCGTTCTTGAGAGATATTACGACATTAATCACATGCAAAAATAATAAGTTAATTTTATTATAAATCATCTTTTAAACTCTATAAATATATCTTATTATATACTTTTTATTCAATCTTATTCAAACTTTCATTTGGTTTTAATTCACTTTTTCATTTTCCACTATAAATTTAATTATTCGAAATACAGTTATATCTGTATTTAATTTTTCACCAACTTGATTTAACGAGGACAAATCAAGTGACTAGCAATATTATGCCAAAGGCGGCAATATTAATTGTGATATATTTGAATCTCATAAACTGGATTTGTATGAAAATTGTGCTATCTTACCCAATATAAATATTTTTAGAATATAAAAATTGAATATGCATATAGGTATAGAAACTTTTGCTTGCAATGATAAAGTTGAATTGTAATAAGAGAAGCTAACAAAACGTCTCTATTTTATATTGACGAAAATATTTTTAACGCGGAAGGGAAGTGATTGCACTCGTTTCTAGATTCACCGAATGCTGCCGAATGCCGCGACATTACGTAACGCTATGCAAATATTGCGACAAGTCCTTCGGGAGTAAAACGTCGAGTACACGGAAGATTTCTCGGTTCGGAAACAAGAGCAACGGGCGAAGCTTCCGGAAGTTATAGCGCGCAACAACTTTCATGCTTACAAACGACGAAGTTCGACCTTACAATTCGATCCAATATATTACAAAGATATGCGTATCTCTTAGAATTTATAATGATACATAAGCTCACTTACTTCCGAGGCAACGGCAACAAGCATTTCATCTCGTTTCGTGCTTTTCTTATCTGTTGCCAGTTTCCGTAAATTAGAGACTCGTATAACGTATAACTGAATTCCAGTCTATTTCCGCGCAATGAGACGTACTTGGTTATCTTTATCAACCTGAATACTACTATTATATGTTTATAGATTATCATAATAGGTATCACAACTTTAAAAGTCTAAAATAAAATCTCTAAATTAATTCTCAGTTAAGTGCAGTATTATATGACGCGCGATATAGCCTGACTTAAAATAATTATAGAATTACGTATTGATTCGAAGAAAAATGTACCATTGAAAAATGAGAAAATGATTTATCAACGATTTATTGATTATGATTATATTATTCTTAAGTATATTATTGTTACTCTTTTGTAAAGGTTTTTTTATAAATTATATTTATATAACGTTTGCAGAATCCTGCATCACTTCACAAGAATCAGATCGCAAACTTGGGGTTACCTATAAATCACAGCTCGTCTCCTGAGTGTATTTACTTATTTCTCTTATTGTGCCACAGCGTTACGATTAACATTAATGTTCCAACATCACGGCAGTATATTCTTAAACAACCAAACAATATTTTACAATTTTATTATTTTCTCGTACCTGTTTTTTTAATTTTTGTTTGTAACAATCGAGAAGTAGATGCAGATTAATATAATTCAACCGTGTAATTTAAACTACATAATTAGCTTGTCACCTAATTAGGTTGAAATTTAATTAACTGCTTTAATTTTAGCAGAAATAATGAATCAGATATCTCTCGTGAAAAGCGAATTAATTAATGGGGATGCGAACGAAAGAATGTCTGAAATGGTCATTCTGGAATACGGAATTTCCACGGGGGACGGGGTTGGAGAAGGAAGGGGAGTGGGGCCTAAGCAGAGAAACTGCGATAAGCGCGAGCGAATTAAAAAATAAAATCCCCTGGCGTAAGAGTCGCGAGGGCATATTGATTTTTCTACTCCGGCGCTGCTGCAGCCAATGACCTAACGTTACCCCCGGCTGTAAGCACGGCCCTAACAAAGTTATCCGAAGAATGACGTGCCGTACACGATGTAGCACGACGGAAATCGACGCCCATTTACCACTTCGTATTCTCGATCATGTCCCCACACGTGACCCCAAACCGCCCCGCGCCGCGACCCGGGCGCCGTCTTAAGACACCATCTGGCAACCGCCCAATCCGGTCATATTTTTCCGATCGTAACGGGTCACGCGGGTATGTGACAGCATCCCCGAGCCACGGTGATTTACTGCGGGCATTAAATTACGACCGTCGGTCGGCTGATCTTCGGGATCGGTATCTTTTGAACGAGACAGGAGCCCAATGACCAACGACGCTGTTGACTTCTTTTTTTTCTCTCTCTCTTTTATATATATATTTTTTAAGGACGTTACGCGTCGGATTTTCGGTCCCCCGGGATCCAACCTTGTCCTGTTGAAAATTGAGGTTTGTTCAGGAAGTATATGTGTGTACATGTTTCGTGGTTCGTCGAAAACAGGATAACCATATTTTTCTGTAGACGATCTGAGCCATAGGCGAGACAAGCAACGACAATTTCTGAGAAGAAAACACACGGAGCATGGGATTCGTAATCTCTCTTGTTATCGTAACCGGAAAAAGGGGGAAAAAGATAAATTTGAACATGTGTACTTAACGAATTAAAAATAGCGGTTTCTTCTGAAACACAATTTAAATATTACATCCTTCTAGTACAGGAAACGATTAATCCTGCATTACACTCGCGTGGGGTGTAAAATACATCGCAGCCTTAAAAATTTACTAAATTCACAAAGTAAATTCTTTTCATTGATTGAACGCGACACAAATTTTACAATTAAAGAAAAACTTTTGCATTTATCTTTATCTAGAAGATATATGGAACATTATTTCATTGTAAATCATGAAAGAGAACAATGAAAATTGATCCATATGAAAGAGATATGGAAGATATGGGGGAGGGAAGGTGAAACGTATTCACGCGATAAAATATGTAAAATATGTAAAACTTCTTTCGCTTTACGAAATCTTTTTATACATTCTTATTCTTAGAAATTTTCCAATTCCAGCTCGCTCTTGACAACTGTACAGAATATCTCGATATTAAATTTCGATATTGAATCCGATATAGCCTAAATCTGAAGTCTCATTTATGTCGACGAAGAATCAAATAAAATACCGACACTGTTTAACCCGTCAAGTATTTCTAGCCACTTCTGAACATTTAACATCTTGAAAAGTTGAGAAGTCTTTATATTTGAACGACGTATTCAACCGTGTATTTGCGAAGAATAGCGAGCCCCCGTCATCGTATTCACGTTCAATTTCATTCCAGGCGATGTTTCTCATTGTTCGCAGAACCCGCGGCGGTGCGAAATCCGAGTGTCGGTGCGAGAAACGATGAACGAATCGGGACGAGCCGGGAACGAAGCGGTGCGATAATAATAATATGTGGACGACGCGGCCACGGACCAGGCGAAAGTGGCGACAACCGTCGACCCCGTCGTGCAGAGAACGTGACAATCGGTGGTATCGCCGTCGGGACGGCTTCCGCATCATCTACTCGGTGATCCTGGCGGCCTGCATGGCGACGCAGGAAGCGAGGGGCGCCAAGTGTCCGCCACCGGACACAATACCCGGCTGCCCGTGTTACAACTTCGAGAACGGCGGTCTGTTCCTGGAGTGCGCAGGTGCCACCGAGGAGTCCCTCAGGAACGCTTTGTCCGGCGTGATACATGCCGCTGGCGAGGAAGGTAAACCGTCCATGATACAACACGCAAAAAGCGGAGATCAGCGGGGAGAACACGTACTCCGCTCGCATACATAAGTAGAAACAGCCGGTGTACGTTCGTAAAACGGTGGTAACGTCATACTGGCGGAAACAGCTGGTGGAAGATAAAAAAAAAGGAAAAGCTCGAGAGACCGTTTCAGTATCTGTGCAAATAGTTAATAAGCTATATAAATTTTTTAGATCTTACTTTCTTTATTTTTTTAGCTTTCATTTTTCAAATGTCACGTAGCTTGACATTAAACTCGGAAATATCTTAACTGTATTTCTGGAATATCTCTCTTATAAGAACATTTAGTTTTGCTAATTTAATAAAAGATATTTCACATAAATTAATTTGACTATATATACATGTGTATAAAAATATAGCATAATTTATTAATTCATACTTTTCTTTAATTTTACATATTTTTATAAAATTTCAAAAAAACCTCTGATACTATTAATTTAGATTCTGTGTTATTTTTATTACATCCTATATTTCGCAGATATTTCATTTTCATGCATGGTAAAAATTCTCAATGTTTATTTATTGAAAAGCGTAATTCGTTCTTTTTATTTGTGTATATCGATATTTAATAAAATATTTTATGCGTAATACTTTACCCTATAAACATAAGAAAAATAAAAAGAAGAATTTAACTTTGAATTTCGCGATTGTAACTCACAAAGCATGTCAGTGGGGCTTTGACTGAAATATCTCGCGATTGTTCCAGGAGCGCTCGTTCAATCATTGAGCGTGTACGAATTGGATCGGAAAGTAGAGGAACTTCGGTCCGCCGCTTTCCCGGCGGGCTCGCAAATTAGGCATCTACAAATATCGCATTCCGCGATACGCGAAATAAGCGAGGATGCTTTTACGCGGCTCAGTAAAAGCCTGGAATCCTTGGCACTCGTATCCGGTCGACTACCTCACGTACCTCAAAAGGCTATGGCCTCGCTGAGCCTACTCAAAGCGCTGGACCTGGAGGCCAACCTCGTTTACGAGCTGCCTAGCTTCAGTTTCTTCGGGCTCGCGTTAATTAAACTGAACCTAAAGGGTAATCAAATCATGAAAATTTCGGAGTACGCCTTTGCCGGGCTCGAGGGCACTTTAAAGGACCTGGATCTGGCGGAAAACAAGATCAGAGTATTCCCTATGACGTCCTTAAGAAGATTAGAACATCTCACGTCCTTGAGGCTCGCTTGGAACGAGATATCGCAGCTCCCGGAGGACGGCTATTCCAGACTGGACGCTTTAAACTTCCTCGATCTCAGTAGCAACAATTTCAAGGACATTCCGCTCAATTGCTTTCGCTGCTGTCCGTCCCTAAAGACCCTCTCGCTTTATTACAACGCGGTCGAGTCGGTCGACAAGGATGCCTTTATATCGTTGATCGATCTCGAATCGATAGACCTCAGCCACAACAAGATCGTGTTTCTTGACGTGGCCACCTTCCGTGCCAATCAAAAGCTCAGGTCGATCGATCTCAGCCACAATCACATACACTATATTCGGGGCGTGTTCTCGCGGCTGCCCGAGTTGAAGGAGCTCTTCCTGGCGGAGAATAACATTCTCGAAATACCGGCGGAAACGTTCGCCGGTAGCACGAGTCTCTCGGTTGTGTATCTCCAGCAAAACGCCATCCGGAGGATTGACGCGCGCGGCCTGGCGACGCTCGGTCAATTAGCGCAGTTACATCTGAGCGGAAATTACATCGAGAAGGTGCCGCGCGACTTTCTCGAGCACTGCGAAAATCTCTCGACCTTGTCATTGGACGGTAATAACATCCGCGAGCTCGAAGTGGGCACGTTCGCCAAGGCGAAGCAGCTGCGCGAGCTCCGGCTGCAGGATAATCAGATCACTGAAGTGAAACGTGGCGTATTCGCACCGCTACCGTCGCTCCTCGAGCTACATCTGCAAAACAACGCTATCACGGACATGGAGACTGGCGCGCTAAGATCTCTGCACAGCCTGCAACATGTGAATCTGCAAGGTAACCTTCTGGCCGTGCTCGGTGATGTGTTCCAAGTGTCGAACGACGTCGGCCAGAGCGAAAACAGCGGTAGCTCTTTGGTCTCCATTCAACTAGATAACAATGGACTCGGCGTCCTACATAATGATTCATTAAGAGGCCAGGCTTCGGTCAGGATCATGTGGCTTGGACATAATAGGCTGACTCGTCTTCAAGCTCCATTGTTCCGTGACCTGTTGCTTGTGGAACGTCTGTATCTCACGAATAATTCTATCTCGCGGATAGAGGACACCGCCTTTAAACCGATGCAGGCGCTCAAGTTCCTGGAGCTTAGTATGAACCGACTGAGCCACGTGACCGTTAAGACCTTCTCGGAGCTCCACGAGCTAGAAGAACTTTATTTGCAGGACAACGGTTTACGCCGTTTAGATCCTTACGCCTTGACGGCCCTCAAAAGACTGCGAGTCCTCGATCTGGCCAACAATCATTTGAATGTGCTGCACGATAAGATCTTTCAGGAAGGGCTGCCGATCAGAACGCTCAACCTGAAAAACTGCACCGTCAGCGTGATCGAGAACGGTGCCTTTCGCGGACTAAACAATCTCTACGAGTTAAATCTCGAGCACAATCATTTCACTGCCACGGCGTTGGACCGCCTAGACATACCGGGATTAAGAGTCTTAAGAATATCGTACAACAACTTTAGTCAGATTAACGCGAACTCCTTGGACGGCCTGCCATCTCTTCAACATCTGGCGATGGATTCGTCACAAATCTATAGAATGCCGGCCGAGATATTCTCGAAGAATAAGAATCTGGGGAAGCTATTGCTCAGCTACAATTTACTCAAGGTACTGCCGGCGACGCTGTTCCTGGGCCTGGAGGCGCTCAAGGAGGTCAAGCTCGACGGCAACAGGTTCCAGGAGATCCCGTACGATGTGTTCGCAAACGCCACCACAGTGGAATTCCTCTCGTTGGCCAACAACGTTCTTCACCGCGTGGACATGTCGCGACTGAATGGATTGATCAGTTTACGGGAGCTTGATCTACGCGGCAACTACATCATGTCTCTCACCGGCTTCGCCTCCGTCAATTTCTCCCGCCTAATATCCGTGGATCTGAGTCATAATCACTTAACCGCTCTTCCGGCGAATTTCTTCGCTCGCTCGAATATGCTGCGGAAGATCGAGCTCGCGGCTAATAAGTTCCGGCAAATACCCGCCGTTGCACTCACGGCACAAAATATACCCGGTCTGGCCTGGCTAAACGTCACGGCTAATCCCCTCGTGAGAATACACGAGATCAGCTCGGAGGCGAAGTATCCGGCTCTTCAGGAAATTCACATCTCCGGGACGAACTTAACGATAGTTACCAGCCAAGACTTCGAGGCGTTTCCCGCGCTGATGCATCTCTTCATGAGCAGCAATATGATATCGAGAGTGTCGCCCAGCGCGTTTCGTAGCCTTTCGAATTTACTCACGTTGGATCTCAGTGTTAATGAATTGGAGTTACTGCCACAGGAAAGACTGAAGGGATTGGAACACCTCAGACTGCTGAATCTCACGCACAACCGTTTGAAAGAGCTCGAGGACTTTCCGCCTGACCTTAAAGCTTTGCAGGTACTCGATCTCTCGTACAATCAGATAAGCGGAGTGGGAAAGGGCACGTTCCAGCATTTGGAGAATTTAGCCGAGCTGCACCTCTACGGCAACTGGATATCGTCGATCTCGCCGGACGCGTTCAAGCCGCTGAAGAAGCTCAGGATTTTAGATCTAAGTAGGAACTACTTAGCGAACTTACCGCTGAATGCCTTTCGACCACTCGAAACGCAAATACGGAGTTTACGGGCCGAGGGTAGGTACAATTTATTACTTTATTCACAAGTCTCGATTTTATTACGTTACGTATTTATGAAAGTTCATTTGCTTGCGATTTACACGAAATTACAAGAGTAATTATATAAAGAAATCGTGCGACACATTTTTATTACAATTCGTTATCATTCGTTAAATTGTAATAGGATGACCGTTTCTCTTTTCAATTTCCATCCTTTTATTTTTGAGAACCGCAAGTCATTTCCCGTATAAAGTATTTTCACGTTTTGAAACTGTTATTTTTCCGTTTATTGCGAGTTAGCACGAAAAAAAAATCTCTTACGACGATATTGCTTGCACGTATAAGCACACGTGACGCCGTTCACACGGATCGTATCGCGTTATGTTCGACAATAGCAATCTCAGTCGGTGAGATGATTGGTCGCATGCAAAACTCACCGCCGGCGTATCTTCGCATGCGAGCGGAACAGTCGAAAATAACCCCGTCGGGTAGTTACACTCGGAGCTCCTCGACGTCGAGTGAACGATATGAACGTAGAGCACACAATCGCGAGCTACGTTACAAAACATCACGGTGCTATTCGACGCGGGAAGCGCGGCCTGCGCGGCTATAACGTCACGGTAATTTAGGTTGCCGTAAACGTCGCAGCGCTTACGGCAAATCCAAACATTTCCGCCTCTCACGACAATTACATTGTGGTACGATAAAAACTTTTCGAAGACTATACCGGAACAAACGCCGATAATAATACGCTTGTAAATGTCGAGACTAAGCTCTGCCATAAGATAATCACGGACATTAAAAATCCGCGTAGAAAATCCACTGCACTGCGACTGCGAGTCCCAGGAGCTCTGGGAATGGCTGCGCGACCATCAGAAGTTGGTCGGCGGCGGAATGAGCCGGAATCGCGGGGGCGGGCTCAGGATGAACGACGTGGACGGCGGCCTGTTGAGATGCGACCAGCCGCCGGAGCTGCGCGGACTGGTCTTCCTGGATCTGGACCCGCACGCCTTCTGCACCGCACCGCTGGTCCTGAAACTGGCGATCCAGGACATCCAGCCGTTCTCCGTCCTGGTGTCGTGGCAGAGCAGGAATCATTCCGGCCTGCGCGGCTACCAGGTGGCCTATCACGCCCTGGACAATGTCGACGAGGTACCGAAAAAACATCAGGCACTCTAATTGTGTATAGCGTTACATGTCGTTCCTAAAAAGCGAACATGGGTACAACATGGGGTATAAATCGAACGGGCGGATAAAATGTAAAGTGTAAATGGCGTTTGATTCAATCGATATAGCCGAGAATCTCGTTGTCTATCTCTGTCTCTCTCGACGAGGCTCTAGCTCATCCTTCGCAAAAACGTGTCGTCACATCCGACACCGTTCTCGCTGATCGATCGGCGCGAACGCGCAAAAAAGCGACGCGGCGTTTCGGTCGGATTAAGTATTTTCGCCACTCCCCGAAAGAAATCAAATTTACCCATTTTCAGTGATTACCCGCTAGATAATGGCGGTATGCTCGCACGTGCAATCGCTGTGCGCTTATTATTCCGCGAGAGAGAATTTTGTATTATTCCAGTAACTGAAAAAAGAATAAAATAATAATTAAAAGAATATTTTTTAAAAATAATATATATATTTTTATAGGAAACATTTATGCTCTTTTCTTAGATAGTATAAATAAATAAAGAGCTATTTCGGATATATTTATAAAAAGTTGAATTTTTTTTTATGAGAACACTAATATATTATTTTTTTCTCTAAATTTATTCGGAAACCCCGTAAACGTGGCGTCACTTTTATCGCTCTAAATTTCAGGTACGTGCCAAAATACTCGAGCCGAACGCGCGCTCGGTGAAACTCTCGAAATTGTCGCCGAACACTCGCTACCTGATCTGTGTATTCGGTCTCGGTAATTGGATGACGTCACGGATGGAGGACGGCCCGATGGAGCAGCTCAATTTCACGCAGGTCGAGATACTCGCGTCTACGCCGAGCTCGCAGATGACGGACTCCGCGACCAGCCGTTGCACCGATGTGAAGACGCTCGACGCGCCGGACGCGATAATCAGCAGCGATGGCTCGGCGATGGGCGACGTTGGCAGTGTCAGCAGCTTCCTGACGAGGCGGCTGGGCTTGATAGTCGGCTGCTGCATGGGCTTCATCGTCTTCCTCCTCCTGGTGTCCGTCTTGGGTTACCTCAAAGTGAAGAAGCAGCGGGAGGCGGTCAAGAGGGAGCAGCAGCCGTTACCGCCGGAGTACATATCGTATAGGCACTTCAGCATACAGAGCGGTGAAGCCGGCCACACCGCTACCAGGCAGACCAGCCAGGACGGTCAGAACTCGAATTTCATCAACAACACCACGCTGAATGTATGAGAAAAGCCGCGGAACTCCCGACTCGTGGAGGTTTCGAACGTGTGAGCAAGGCTCGAGCGAATTTCGAGTGTGTTGTTAACCGGTTCGAAGGTCTCCCCGACTCGCGGGAGTTTCGAGTTTACGCGCCACAGAGCCACAAACGGACAATGCCGACTGTCGTATTTTCGGCAACGACCGCCGAACTGTTTTACGAACTGAGAAATTATCGCAATTAGCAGTGCTGTGCGCTCAAGTAATACGCACTAAGAGTGCGTATCATTGACTCGATGAATGCTCGACGAAGATACGTCGTTCTCGAGAAGCATCACTACCAAAAACAACTGGCCATGCCAGACCTCTGCGTTAATGGCAACGAAGAGTTTAAGCGAGTGAGTATGCGTGTAAAAGAATGTGAAAGAATGCGCGGGCGAATGGGAATCTTTATTAAAGTAACGGAGCATTTTATAAGGGATTTTCTACGAGTCTGAATTCGGTTCCAAGTAGGTTTAATCACTTCACGTGGCATCGTATCGAACGAACGCGATCGAACGGATGAAATGTCTCGTAAGAATTGTACAGAACAGGAAATTGATTTCGGTAATGTACGAGCAATGTGAGCCACACGGTGCAGTTTCTCGTATACTCTAAAAAAATCTTATAAGTTTTGAACAAGACGAGAGATATCGTACTCTCCAACTCTGCAATCAAGAAAATTAAAAAAAGAATCGATCAGATCACTGTCGGATTTTGCTTTGGGTCATTATTGGATCTTCGAATTTAGTAATGCGGAGTATAAAAATCAATACGCGCCGTCTGAAAGACTAAAGCCGTGCGATATACATAGAACATAAAGTTGGGCAAATACAAGAAGCTTACTCTGAACATAATGAGTGTAATTTTATCCACGAGAAATCGGTTGAATTCGCGGATGCCGAACGGTCCTTTGGAGGAGGAGGAAGCTCCCTCGCATCTTTGTGTAAAATATAACGCTCAGTCTTCTTCAAGAAATATGAAATTTTGAGGAGTGTATGAAGATCTCGAAGGGTCGCGCGTGTTCCCCGGACGACTGTAAACGACAACGGGGGGAAATAGACGATAGATAGACGTTGCTTCCGTGTAACACACGACGCGCACTTTGCCGAACGATTTACGACTAAACACCGCGTTATTACGTGTCATCCCGGGGGCCGCCACTCGCGGATGAGATCGGACGGGTGTGAAGTGGCTATTGTGTTTTCTTAATGGCTCGGCAAACCGCGTGGTTTAGAACGTCATCCACGCGCCGATCTCGCGAAATGGCGCGCCATTTTGCGGTGAACGCCCGCGGTACGACGGTACCATCAATTTCCGATTGGGCCGCGCGCGGATCATCAGGGTGGCGGGACGGGAAAAATTGCTCATCCCTGCGAGCGATCGATTGCACGACGGATTCCGGATCCTCCGGCGATGAAAGAGTAAGAGATGCAAAAAAACTGGAGGGGGTATATAAAATTTAAAAGAAAATATATCCCACACTCGGTTAGCGTTCCAGCGGGATTCTGTAAAATAAGATGCAAGAGCACCCGATGCTAAGTGAACTTTCTTCACAGCGAACACAAGATATGAATAATTTCTTTTATTGCTTATATTTATAGAGGATGAATTTTTTCAACGCGAAAACAATATTGATTTGTCAATAAATAGATAAAATATTCTGCTAAAGTCTGCAGAAGGTAATAAACGTGCGATAGGTCAGATATAAAATTATACACGAATCTGTTTTAGGTTTTCGTCTTTTCCTTCTGGGTCAAATTATTTGCATCTGAACGCTAGCCGTTGCTGGAGAATCGGCGATTAAAGGTGACGTTCTATGGATCGTGTTTAGAATTTATAAATATACGTGAAACGATTGTATATAGATACATACGTATCGGGAAAACTATGTATTCAATGGTTAAGAATGTCGATATCACCGAGATTATTATCATAAAAATTCTGATGATCTCTTAAATAGCGAAACAACAATAGTAGTCGAATTAGCGTCGGCGCGTCGATCCACCCCCGATTTTTCAGGAGGCCAACGAGGCCAGATCCATCAGAACTTTTATCGCGATAGACCGATGTAATGCATTTTGCATTAGGAATGAATGACGCGCCCAGATGTGGTACGGTTTTTCAGGAATCGATTTAGATTAACAGATTGACTCGCTCGATATCGCCGTTAACCGATTAGTATAATCGTCGTGTCGAGTATTAAAGTCGCAAATGCAACGAAACATCGCGTTTAGCGCGGGACAATTTTTAGTGTCGACACGAATCCCGTATCGGCGTTTTGACGAAATGATTATCGAGGTGACATGCGATATCCAGCGAGCTCGTTATGAAAAGTCGTTATACGAAATGCAGCGCTGCGAGAGAAAAAAACGTAGCTGCACGACGGATGCGTTCAACGGTAATTCGTTATCACGTTACCGGATCGTTTCGGTATCGGCCGGCGGGAAAGGCCTCCACATTTCCCGGCCGTGAAGAGAGGAGAAGAGTCCAGGGAGAAGGAGAGCGAAATCTCGCGCGCGGATTGGCGAAATCAGCGCGAGGTCTACGATGTATGCGCGTTCTCGTTACACACTGTGTACTGTAATATATACATACGTCACTGTAATAAAAATGCAAATTCTTTTGTAAGCAGGTGTTTTTCATCTCCCGTGTGGCTGCTGCTGCGCGCGCGCGCGCGCGAGTGCGAGCGAACGAGGAGAGACGTGTTAATCCGTCCGGGGCCGATATCGCCGAGCGACGAGATTGAATCATAACGGGCTGAGATTTTTCTTACTTACATGCCCCTCCGTGTATACGGCGAAGAGGAACGACGCGGCAGTTCTATCCCGTCGTCTTCTATCTCGCGGACCCTTACTACCCGATCGCGCGTATAAATGCCCTCCGATTTTACGAAGGTATATTCCAAACGCACGGCGGGGATTACATTTTCTCTATCGCGTTATGCCTTATACCTATATAGACTTCCAATAGAGTATGGCTTACGGAGAAGCGAGATTGATTCATAGAATATATTAATTTCCATCGGCGATATCGGCCGATTTGACGAGTTTCATCGAATTCGCAATCACAAATGGACCCGCCGATGTATCGGTGGATATAAATTGACAACTTTTCGGCAGACGGAATACGAATATGAGGCAATCTCCATCGCGGACCTGCCGTCACAAAGAACAGGATGAAGATAACTTATTAACGGTAAGCTGCACAGAATTCTTTATTGCTTTCATATCGATTTTCAAAGGATAATATCAAGTTGATAAGTCAGTGATATGAAAACTTCGCGGTATAATGCAAAAACATCTAGAGAGAATTATTTGAATAAGGATTAAGGATTATATTTTCAAATCGATTTTCAATATAATTTCCATTAAAATTACAAATTAAAATTAAATTGAAAAGCGATTAAAAAATCTAAATATTTTTTATAATTAAACATTTTAGTTTTTTTAAATTTCCTATTTCGAGTTGACGTGATATAATCTGTTACGGTAGCATATCGTAATAGTTCATATATAATTGGCAAACTATATCTGCATAAATTTCTTTAAATAGGAATTCTCCAAATTCCTTGATTCTTTAGACCAGTCGATCAGACGAAAATGAAAATGAAATATTTTACCTGCTTATTTGTGAGAAATAGTGAATAACTGTAAAGAGTTGAGCGTTAATTTTTTTATTATAATTGGTAATTATTTAGTATAGGGGGCCCAGCTTTATAATAATCTTAACTTCGACACAAGATTTTAGCTGTCGTTTATTGTTTATGAAAGAGTTATTAATAAATAAAATAAATCATATAAACATGTATTTAATGTTGAATTGAACTGTAACTGAACGAATACTACATTTTTTACATATTTGCACATTAAGTAAATGTCTGAGAGGGAGAGGAGCAGAGATGAGAGAGTCCCCTCTATTAAATAATTACCTTAAAATTTTGTGTTATTTTATGTTATAGATTAAAATCGCGTTTCTCAATTTATCGCCTAGAATGCGATGCTCGACGCAGGAAAAGATCGTAATAACGGACACCAAAGCTATTCGTCATATTCGAACACGAAACCTAAATAGCGACAACATCGAATGCCCATCGCTCGTACATGTGCCAATAAAACCGATATTCCGGTCTTATCAACGTCGGAACACCACGGGATGAAATGCCAAGACATTTCTGCGAATAACGAGGTCCGCGGGAACGGGAAGCCTTGTGGCTCCCGAGAGGCGCAATCGGAATTCGTAAAGTATGCGGCCTGCTCTCGTTTATTTCGGCGTCCGCGCCACCGACGACGGGGGCGGTTGCCTCTTTAAACTCGTACCCTACGTCTCGTATAAATTTTCCAGCGTCTCGACGAAACGCTTCCCGTCTGCTTTATCGTATTTCCTTGCAATTAACCCCTCCCCGCCGCTTGCCGCGCCCCGCGCGACTACCGCCTACCAGCCCGCGTTGGATCGCGAGGTAGAGGTAGAAGCGTTCTGCATATTTCATTTGTTCTCGGGTGCGCTCCGGGAGGCTGAGCGCGTCCCGGTTTCGTTCTTCCGGAATTGCAAGGGCGGTGACCCGTGGCCAGGAAATTGAAACTCACCGTTAAGAACACGCGTATATGCCGCGCCGATGGCGGTTCCGGCCGGTCGGGCGCGAGGACGGAAGCTGGCGCAAGGAACATTACGCGGTGAACAACACCCGGACGATTGAGCGCTACTACGTTGCCGGTAAAAAGAAAGCAATTATTCTCGTATAACTGTAATTAATGTGAGCTAATTAATTAACTCTCCGGCAAAGCGGAGGAAATTCGTAATTAGTCTGGTTGAGCGCGAACAGGGCTGTTCGCGGCCGGGGAGGGGGGAGGTTTCGGTCGAGCACCGGTATTGCCTCAGGATCGATTGGCTAAGAAAACAATCGCAATTTTATTGTGTGTAAATATAATATCATTGATTTTTTTATTTTTATCACGTCTTTCCTTCCACTGCATCGTATGCAACGGACAAGGATATATTTTTTTCGTAATTTAACCTTTTCTACGGGACCCGTGTCTTCTTGTATGTCTTCGGACGTTATTTATTGCTGTCAGGGTACCCAAAAAGGGACATTAATACTTAAGCAGGAGTACAGGATGTTTAATGATTAAAGACTGTGAGTTATCGCACGCTCTCGTGCCACCTGTCTGCAAATTGCTGACCGTAAAAAGAAGATGACACGGACTAAAACAAAAAATACCCTCGAGTCGCTATCAATTTTTCCGTTTCCCACGCTTCGTTTAATGAACAGTGTCTAAGCAATTTCGCGAATAGGTACAAAATTACGAAAATAACACTTTCTTTTACATCTTTTTATATCTCATCACATTAATTCAGTTATAAAAATAAATGTTTGAAAACAACAACAAGAAATATTACAAAGAAAGATTACAAAGAAAGTGAGAAGTGTTCTACAACGTTTGACAGAATTTATCTGGCACGGAAATTTTGCGAGAGAATACAAATGCGTTATGTACAGTTTTCATTTAAATGAATAGGTACTTCAAAATGACTAAAAGTGAGCTTATTACATTCCAAATTTAATACGTGACATTATCATGCACGCGGTACATTTAACTAAAATTTCATACCTTTATTGCATTTTTCACGCTATTCTCGATATTCATGATACGCGCTACCTGCTCAATTGCGCGCGGGAGAAGAATACGTTCATTCGTATGTTGTTTGTCATATTTATTATTTATTCGTCATATACATTATTTGCATTATTTCGTAATTAAAATAACTTTTTTGTGTTTACTTCATCCTGTTTAACGGGAGATATGATAAAAAAGTTAATTGTTCTGCATTTTTAAGAGTATATTCTGCGTCCAACTTTCGTTATGCGCAACGTTGAACGTTGGCGTGATGGTTCACGGAGTAATTGCAAAATATACTGATTATCATGTTAGAAGACATGTCGCTGCATGTCGCCTTAGTAGTGGTTCCATTAAGTATAAAAACTCAAATAAACGCGGCGCACAGATCAATTTTTAATTATTATTGTAGTCGTAAGCGATACAAGGAGATTAAATCGATTAAAAGTCAGACATTCATAATATTTTGTTTTAAAATCTGCACCATCCATTACTTTTTTGGACGTTCTTATTGTATCGCGAACAACTCAAGCATATAATTGCATCGATCGATTTCTCGGCGGGGCTCACACATATATGCCGGCACATATATACGTGTACATCTTCAAAAATCCGAGATTCCTCTGGAACGCGAAGAAGAACGAGCGTGTACGTCGTTCAGTGATATCCAGGTATTATCTTTTAGCTAGTGAGTAATGTATTTAATCACTTGATTTTTATTGGAGTGAAGAAGAAACGGATTCGTGACGAAAGTAAAAACAAACGGTCTCTTTTCATTTCTTCAATGCAAACCCAGAGATTGAAGATTTAACCATATTTTCTTTAAACACGGAAAGAACGGTTCTGTTAAAGTATCTAAAAATTTAGCTATCTAAAAAATTAATTAGATGCAGATCTGAAAATAATTTTGTTGCACCATTAAAATAATTGTAGTAGGTCGCTGAAGTGTGATGATAATGCTGTAAAAAATTTTGATATTTTAGCAATCAGTTTGAGTGTTTTACTTAATTATTTTGATATGGTGCAACAAAATTATTTTCAGATCTGTATCTAATTAAATTTTTAGATAAGTAGTTTAGATACAACAAAACCATTCTTTCCGCGTAGTTATTTTGGATGTTGTCTCGATGTTTTCGATGTTGCGATTATTATATTAATGTAAACGTTTATTATATTTTTAAAACAGAATGTCCTATAATACTGTCATTTTTTATCATTCCACTACCGAGCCATTTCTTTGCATCAAGACTTTGATGTGTTGCAGAAAAAAGATTTCTTGTTCTATTATCAGCTTCCTACATTTCTATATTAAGTATTTTGATAAGTGACTTTTTCAATAAGAAGTTTATTAAAATTTGTACAAAGTTAGATAAAAAATAGGCTTTATTATTCATTCGCAACGTTGGCAGTACAAGGTCTGACGCTTTCAAAATTTGAAAAAGAAATGATTCATCATCAAGCTTCATCTAGACACGCGTGGTCTGCAAAAATATGGAGGCTGCAGAAAACTGTAAATCATGAGACGCGTAACTGTAAGTTAAAGGAAAGGTTTTCGTGAGCATAATCTATATCTGCCTTGTCACAACTTCGATACACGGGCAACACGGATTTCGCGGTGCTCGCGCGATATTATGGGAATAAGTCAAACTGGACGTTTAGTAGACGGTAAAACGCGTTTATTATAAGCTCGGCAAGTTCTGCTGCTATATAAATCGGTCACGCATATAAACCTTCGCGCAAAAGTTTCGGTCGGAAACTTTTGGGGAAAAAGTCAAGCGAGAAAGATCCGGAGCGACGTGCAAAAAATAAACGCTACGAAAATTTCGTAATAAGGTTAATACGGGATCTGTGTCGGCGAGTAGAACGCCTGTATTTTCTATCGCGCATATAGGCGTGGAGCGTATACGAAGTCAGAGCACAAGCAAATACTGCACAACTGGGACAGTCGAGATGTTGACGCGACGTTTTTCTGCTTTTCCCCCGGAAAATCTCGC